GATATCTCCTAGCACCATGGGATTAAAGGCCTAGAAAACTGAGAACTGTATCTGCATCTTAGGGAGCACTGGCCAGAAACACTACAATAGGAGCATTGTCTCTGTCCATTAACTTCTTAGATTCCGTAACAGATAGCTGTACTACAGATAGAGCCTGTCCTGCATTAAGAATGCAAATCTCAGTAAGACCACCACTTCGTCCAGAATAAACTGAGTATACAAACATCCCCAGGGAATCTCTAAATACTGTTAGGAACTGCTTGAGAAACACTTTAAAGCAAATACCCCAAGTTGACTTCACTCAAATCCCCAACCCACGCCCACCCCCTCCCTATCCCCAAACAAATTTCATTCCTTGATTAACCTTTCTAAAGAAGATGGGAAGTGAGGTTTGGGAAATGACATGAAAAATGTTTAAAAACACAATTAGTGAAGACATGCCAGAATTGGACATCCCAGATGATTTTAAACACATTTTTCAAACTGAACTCATACAAAGCATGCACGGAACCTACAGACACTACTGAGGGTTTCTATGGAATAATCAATACCTACTTGAAAAAGGACTTTGTTCTGTAAAGGGTTAAAAAAATAAAATAAAAAAGACACCAGATGCTTAGAATTTGTTAACTGTCATAAAGAAAACCATTCTTAGAAAAAGAGCAACCCTTAAAGGAGTAAAGAGAATTGTGTCTAACAGATTCAGGCCAAAGCTTGGATGAAAGCCCCTCAAAGTCTAAGTACTGTGCCATCATCAACTGGTACTCATTTCTCTAGATCTAAGACTAGAGGATCATCTCATAGCTTTACTGTTTGTTTCCCAACAAGTTTCTAAACTTAAGGTGCAAACCTAGGAGAGTAACAAGGCCCAAGTCCCCAAATGGGTAAGATAAACAGTCCCTATACAAGCTTGCTCCTCACTAACTGAAAAGTGGAGGTCACGTACTGCTTTCACTCTAAGTAGCAAGTAAAACGGGATTTTCTAGAGGCAATGGCTACTCCATGTGAGGCTCAGCTTACAGGGCAGTAAATTTTCAAAAAGTGATTATTAAGAGCATATGATTAGTGTCATAAACCTACTCATATTTTAAATCACATCATTTATTGACAGTTTCCATTATTAAGAACACAGAAGCTTTGAGAAAAGCAAACTATAAAATCATTTTGTGGAAAACAGCAAGATACCCAACTGAGCATCACATTCCAATGTCATTAACTTGAAATGGATCCCAGTGACATGCACGATAAAGCCAGCTACTTTGGTAAGAGAAAAATGCCAAATGACAGAGAATGGTTCTGGATAAAGAATCTCTCCCTTAACAGTTAAAACTCCCATATTGGGTCTATGAAAAAAGCAAATAAAAGATCTTAAACAAGGGAGAATTCCATTCCAGGTCAGAATCTACCTAACAATTTGAAATCTTCCCATTTATCTACCATGTGACAACTTCTTCTGATGGAGATAAAAAATTTACCTATGTTCAGTTCAGCTGAGCTTAACTATTCTTCCTATTTAAAAACTCAAGTGACTTTATAAGGGATATAAAATCTCAGGGCATTTTAGAGGGAACAGCATTAAACAAACAATAAAAATTTGCTGTTGGTTGCCAAAGAATGAAGTACAAGGCAACTTCCTATATAAATTAGATGAATTACGTGGCTGTTCTTAGGCAAAATACTACCATTGGTATTTCCATCTGTAATCCTACAAGTAAATCTGGTTGTTTTTTGAAAATACCTCATTATAGAAATGTTAAATTATGTTATAGTAAGGTAGTTCATATATTGGATCTCCCAAGTTTACTCTGAGATCATATGGCAAAGAAATTTATCATTTTAATGGGAATGACTGAGATTATGAGCAATACAGGCCAAAAGAAGGGGGAGGGATGTCATGAAGTTTGACATTTTCTATTTGGAATAAGAGAATTCTCCTTAAGTAGAGATAAGATGAGCTATAAGGATGTTTGCCTCAAATTCTTTCCTTGTATACTTATTAAAAAAAAAAAAATTAAATGCAACATATGAAGACTTAAAATGGACTTTCTTAAAGAACCAATTACATTAAAAATTATGATTAATTCTCAGGAAATGGATGTCAAAAATTAAGAATAGAGAACTGAGAAGCCAAAGAAAAAGGAGGATCAAAAGATTTTCTAAGTAAGGGTCCAACCATTACATACAATAATCTAATCACATGAGTTTAGTTTGTGGGAACACTACCAAAGCTATTATATTCTCTATAAAAACACTACTAATTCTAAACTGTATCTCTAAGAGGACTGACACACAGGTGAGTCCAAAGACCAAAATAACCATCACTGAAATGCCCGATCTCCATAGGACAGGAGAAATCAACATATTGGTATGGTATCATCTGTTGGTTATTTTCAGTCCTAAAGAACAAGCATTCTTGCCACTATTTCAAAATATGTACCGTGTCATACTAAGGTTTTCATGGCAAGACAATGACTGAAATGCTAAGCAAGGCAGACCAGTGTATTCATAGCACATTATCTTTAAGTAGCCTATTCATCCAAGCTTGCATTATTGGAAAACTGCCATGCTAATCAGAAGGGCTGGTTCCTCTTACTCTCATTTGGTTTTACACAAGACCTTACTTACTCATCTATCCATATGCATCCCATGATTTACTATTGAGCAGTTAAATGAAAGAGGGCCAAAAAATAAAGAGAGTGACTCAATGGAGATAGACTCTATGAGAGAAGTATTTTTAAAAGTCAGGATCATTAAAAAGTTGTTTCTGCTAAAACCAAGTGTGAATTCTACAACTTACACAAATCAACAATTGCTCAGCCAGTAAAGTACTTTAAGCACAAAGGTAAAATAAAATTTAACTCCAGTGTCAGTGAAATATTTGATTCTCATTAATGAAATTTTAGTCATACTCTGATTAGGACCACAGCATTAAGTTTTAATTTAAGAATTAATGGTGTTTAAAAGATCTGGAAATAACTATTATTTTCTCCATTTTGGAGATTTCAGTCATCACAGTGAGGTTAGATCAAGTTACGGGGCAAATGATAACTATCTGGACATAGAAAAAAAAAAGCAAAGGCACTGATTAACAAGTACATTTTTAATTAGCCTAGGGATAATACATAACAAAGGGGAGAGACTAGAGGCATAAAATTTCAGAGTGGAAAAGGATTTCAGAGATAAACCTAATTCACTGGTCTATAACCCGTGGGCACCTAGAATTTCTGCAAGGGGTCGCCAATTCCATATGCAAATTTACATTTTCTCCATCTATGGAAGTGATGATATAATACTAACCCCACACTGCCAATTTTTGAAATCACAAGTCCTTTTACGTGAAAAGACAGAACTATTGATCTAGTCCAATTCTCTCATTTTCACATGAGGAACCTGAGACTCAGGAGAAAGAGACTTGCCTAGATAACAGTGAAGTAGTAGCAGAACCATTATAGAAATGCATTTATGCCAACATATAGTGCCCCTTCCATATACCATATATAATATACAGTTAATTTGCACCTGGACAGAGAAAGTAAACCTTTCCTTCATTTTTCAGTTGCCCGTGGCTCCCTGTGATATTCTCACTAAGTGTCCAAGTGAGATTTCTGCTGGCTAAGAATCTTCAACTCTGGGATCAATAATCCTTTCCAACTTTGGTCCTGGGAATGCCTTACTGATGATCTTCACACCCTATGTCTAATAGTTACAAAATGCAAGGATAAAGAATATAGGTGAGTTAAAAGAAAACACTAGCTCCAGTGTTTGCCACCTTTCACTCATTTCTTTGTGAAGACTGTCCTAACTAAAACCTATACTATTCTTTCCCCTTTCGAAACTTCTACTGTAATTACAGTTCAGTCAGAAAGGTAAGCATTTACATGTTCTCCGATTATCTTATGTGTAGTTGTCTCCCCAACTGGATAAAAAGGTGAAACCAGATCTTGTATTTCAAAAATTGTCTAACTTTGATTAAGGACTCAATAAATAGCTGTTGACTTACACAGTCAAGGAAGTGCAATTCTGCAACAAATTTAAAAGCATGCACGTAGAGGGATCAATAATCTGGTACAGGTGGGACACAGAGAAGACAATTGTATCTTCTCCCAAAATGGTATAAAAAATTGATAAAATCTATTATCTTTTCCATGTATTCTTGGCACATAATGCCACGCAGTTATTTCCCTTCTACATTATCATCAGAGCATCATTTTTTTTAAAAAAGCAATAAATAACTAGGCCCTCAAAATAATGGTATAAGAATTTATAGGCAATTGGAGGAGGGGGCAAATCCCACAAGCTTCATCTCAACTTTTCCCCTACCATTAAGGAAATAAAGGCAAATGATAATTTACAGAGACAAACAAGATAACCTTCTGAGCAAACTGACTCCCCTGTACAGGAGAATGGAGCACGGGAGGGTGAAAACAGACTCTGGTTTCCAATTCTGATCTCCCCTTACTAGCTGGGACACTCTGGACCAGTTCTGTTGAGCCTCAATTTTCTTCCTTATCTACAAAATGGGAAAAACATACATTTTGCAGGGTTCTTAGAAAGACTAAGGGAGATAACTCACATAAAGTATTTAGCACATGCTGGTTACTTAAAATTAGATGCCTCTCTTTCCCTCATTTGGCACTATTCTTCTTCTTCTGTGGCTCCTTCCTAAAACAGATTTTTAAAAGTATTCGTCTTACTTTTCCCCCATTAGTTTTCATTTCATTTCCCTGTATTTGTCCCTTGTCAGTCTCCAACTCTATCTTGTTCTTTCCCTCCTTACCTTTTAAACACTCTTTCAGACTGTTCCAAAACCTACAAGGAACAGCTTTTTAAAAAACTAATCTTACTGAACTCTTTAATCTATTCAATAAAACTTTCCCCCCAAAGAGCAAAGAAACTTGTAGAGGAAGTAAGACAAACCGGAGGAAGCATCCTCTCTAGCTGGATTAAGTTATACTCTTTCCATGTATAATCCATAGCCCCTTCCCCTATACATCTCTACATCAACCCCAGGATAATTATGCTCCTGTCACAAAATAAAACACAATCGTGTACACCTCATACTCTAAACTCCCCAGCTGTATCTAAGTTGGATGAATGTCCTAAATCCTATCTCTCTGATATGCTTATTTAAATCACTTTACATATACTTGTTCATCTCATAATAATCCAACTTGAAAAAGTCACTTTGGTTTTCTCATAAATGGATATGACAGGGCTGAACTTACCAAAAAGAACTACATCCTATCACTGAAGAACATGTTGTCTTAGGCTCTCTGGATATGTTTTATAAAGAGAAGCTAGTAGTTAAGAGAATGAAACAAAGCCCTATAGGGAAAACTCTAGACTTCACATTTTTGACAGATTTGGGCTTTAGCTGTGACTCTGCTGAGAGTGGAGATGGGTGCTATCACAGCACCAAAGCTGAGCATACTCTCATTTCTTATCCGGGCCTCCCTGAATTTATAGATTTCTGACCCTTGCTCTTGTCTACTACTAACAATTTTTTTTACCCTTGCATGCACCTCTGACAGTATACAGCTCTATTCCTCAGATAGCAAGTATGTTATTCAAGGTCAGATATAATTGAGGAATTACCATGAAAACCATGTTTCCTCAATAAATCAGAAACTGCTAGTTAAGTCTCAAGAGCCTATGGGGGGAAAAATCAAAGTGGTATTACTCAGTCACCAATCTAAAGAGAGAACTTTGACTCAAGGTATAAATGAAATTGTAATTATATAAATATATTTATAAATATTTATACAATTATATACTTATACATAAGCACTTACACAGACTTAGAAAAAAATGTAAGAACATTAATTCCTAAGGACTCACTGAAGAATAAACAGAATTTTCCATGATTTCCTAGAGGAGATACATAACTCACTCTTTAGGGAGGGTCCCTCAAAATCCAACCATTAGAAACCATATTCTATAACTGTGTACTAGCAACAGAAAAGCAATTTTCTGTTGCCAAGACAGCGATCTTAAAGTAGATGGGAATCTACTAAAGGTCTCTGAGCAACAGCAATTTATAGCGAGTAGAAGAATCAATCTAAATCCCCAGTTGACAAAATACGTCCATTTTATATTATGGTTTTACAAGTTAAAGTTCTGATTTTGCCACAAGAATCACTATTACCCCTTCACAGGACTCTATTTAAGGCTCAAAATGAGAATTGAGCATATAGTGAAGCTGATAATAGTACTATATGGATTCCAGATGGCCTCTTCTAAATAATACTGGAAAAAGAAAAAAAAAAAAAGCTTTTACCAACCAACAATTTGAATGTGGCTTTTGTTGGCAGAAAAACCTGTATTTGAAGATTACCGGTAATTTCTCCCCCGCCACCCTCCCACCCCCTTACTAAATGTTGTTTTATGAATTGAGTTTAAAGGTCTTGCCCTTAGAGAGGCTTTCAAGTTTTGATACTTTTGCAACAAAACAGCATGAGGATTTAAGCGCATTTAGTCACCAGACCCTTTTAGAGACTTTTTCAACCAGGGGTCAAAACCAATCATTATTTCTAACCAAAGTAGCTTGGTTAGCAACTCTCAGCTGCATCTTTTTCTTTTTCCCCTGGGACATACATAAGTATGCCCTAAAGCACATAGGACAATCAGTAACCATAGTGGTTACAATTACAAGCCATTCTACTGCATGATTATTGAACAACTGCCTTCCTATACATCACTTGTGGACCCAGACAGTGGAGAGGCCAAAGGAACTAACATGCTGTACCGGCAAAAACAGCAAGCACCTTCCAATCCCAGTCACCACAATTTGCTCATTAAATGTCCATTCCAGGGCTAGCAGGACCGATATACTTTACAGAGTAATAATGAAGGAAGCTGTCTCAGGCTAGGACATTAAAAGCCACCCTACACCACTCACCCTACACTTAACACTCTTTTTGCCAATAACACATATCATGGAATCATTTTTGGAGCTGGGAAGAAGGGAATCTTTTGAAAAAGAATTTTAAATGTGATAAACAGTAATTATAAGGGATGCTTTTTCCATGTAAACAAAACCCTGGATACTTTGTTACATACTTCCTACATGAAAAACAAAACAAAACACGTGTTAGAGAATTTCTTCTTCCTACTGAAAAACAGGGACTCATGAAAAAGGGAGGTTGTCCTTATTCTGAATCTAGCCATTCCTTAGCCAAAGGAGTCTGAGGAGTCACAATATCATTTGATCCCAAAAAAGCGCCATGCAAGAGACCACTATGTGGAACACCCATTTCTTGTTGCCAGTACTAGGAGGCATCTTATCCTTACACTTCCATTTGGTCACCAGATTAGGTAAGAAAGAAAGACAGAAACAAAGAATGAAAAGTAGGAAAAAGAAGAAAATAGGAGAGAGAAAAAGGGGGAGAAAAAAAAAAAAGACTGATTACAGGACAGAGTGAGAAATAAAAGTAAGAGAAGGCAGGTGACTTGCTTGCCCAACTTTGGCTCTGTGGTCCTATGAGCCAAAATGCATACTCAGTAACATGGTATCTCACAGGAAAAGGGAAAAAGGGGTAAGCTGAGAGAGGTCAGGCTATGGTGTTAATTTCTTTCCTGTACAAAGACAGTCTCTTGAGGACAAAGGCCTGCCTCTTGTAATGTAATGTCATAGTCCAGGTGAGACAGTTTCCTTCGAGGGAAGTTGGTGAGAAGTTCAAAACGTTCATTTGGATATCCTTTAGACTGGACATGCTTCACCAAAGCCTATGGAATACAGGAGAAAGACAAAGCTGTTAGATGGAAATAAAGGAAAAAGTATTAATAAATCAAATCTATAATATCACTCATTTTTATCAAATTAGATGAGATATACATTTTACATTATTTTACTCTCTTGGAGGGGCCAACAAAACTCTTAGGATGGGGAGATAATAAACCTGTATCTAACAATTTAGGGCCACTAAGTAATTACTGAAATATACAGGGTTATTACTATCTCTAAATAAACAACACAACTGCTCTTTAGAAAATTATCATCTTCATTTTAAAACCTTTTATCAGTTTTCCTTCTTTCCTATTATCTGGGAAGATATAGCCTTCATCCCACCTATGACCAATCTTGCTACCTGTGCACTGGATCCCTTTTGTTCTTGCTTTTTCAGAAACTCTGCCCTGTGGACTATCCCCTCTTTTACAAGTATCTTCAATATCTTTCTCCCTACAGATGCTTTCCATCAAGCTTAAATATGCCCAGTTTCTCTTTCAATCCTCTTTCCCCCTCTGATTACTGCCCACTCTCCCCTTCTGCTTCACAAGCAAACTTCTCAAAACAGTGGTTTATAGTTGCTCTCTCCATTGTCTCATCTCCCAGGCCCTTCCAAACATTAGGCCAGGGAGACAGTATCAGCAGTAGCAGCCAGGCCCTACTCTCATTCCAGTCACACAATCTTCAAGAGTCAGCCTAATCAACTTCACCACACTAATTGACAGGTATAAATAAGTTAAGCTAGTCAGACTCATCTCTTTTCCAAGAGTTGAAAGATACACAGAGGAAAGGCCTGTCAGTTGTGGACTTCAGATGAAAAGTCCTCAGCATCACTGTGATAGATCATGTGCAAACGAGCCATAAACAAAAGCTACCGTATACAGCGAGGAGAATGGTGCGGAGCAGAGAATCACAAAGGGGAAACCAAGTGGGCACAATGAGAGAAACACAGAGAAACAGCCTTGGTTCTTAACCAGCTACCAGGAACCCAGGGGCCTCACTAGTTTTCAAATAACCTCACTTCCCCTTTTCCAGGGGTAATAACTTCAGTTGGGTTTCTACTCCATGCAATCATGGAACAGAAAAGCTTTGACTGGAACAGCCCTGTGTGACTTGCCTCTTGCCTAAGACAATTTGGAAAAGAAACAAAGTAGTCACAATTAAGGTTCACCACAGTTAGGTTTCCAGTTAGTAAGTCAAAGTCAGGCTGAATACCTAACATCTACTGCAAAGGATTATCAAGCAATGCTCACTGGGCTTACTCCAATTAATTAGTTCCTCTGCTTCAAGCAAAAGCCTCCAATCAGATACACTTACTAGCAGTTTAGCTTGCTCTGGAAGAGTGATCTGTTCCCTTTTTCCATCTGGATACCGCAACATCAGCTGTGCTTTTGGTCCTGAAGGGAGAGTTAAAAAAAACAAAAAAAAAGATACCGGGAGCTTAATACAGAAGACTAATTTAAATAGATAGAGAAGACTAATAAATAAATCCCTTCAGTAATACTCAAGTTTTAAGGAAAGTAAGTTTAGAATGTAACTCACCATTTATATCTACCCCCTCCACTACTCCATCTGATTTTTCAGGTGATATCTCCAATATTTCTGAATCCACACCTGGCAATCCTTGGTGGTTTGTGACTATTCCAGTATCAGTCCTGGCTGGGGGCTCAGTTAGTGGCCTTCTGTTCTCCTCTTTTCTATGCCCCAAATCTTTGTGGGGAGACTTTCTAGATTTGGCAAGATTTTCTACCTCTTCTTCTTCATCGGAGCCACAAACGGATATGAACTCCTCACTGCCAGAAAAAAGTTCAGATTCAGATTCTTCATCTGAGCGGCTATCCTGTTTTGTCTGTGTTGAATCAAAATGTGTCTCTTGCAAGGAGGCTCTGATGGCGGCTTCTAGCTGGCTGTCCTCACTTGCATCTATAAGGCTCTCCTGGCAGATGCAGTTATAAAACATAGGTGGAAAGAAGGAAAAAAACAACAATAAAAAACAAAACAAAAACAGTTAAACCAAAATGTAGTTAGTCAAGTCAAACAGGGCATAAGAAATACAATAGTCATGCTGCCATTATTATTTTCTGCCAATAATTCCTTACAGAAAACCATTCAGCTAAAAATTCCATTTACCAGTTTTCCCTTAGAGCTAGAAAAAATTTGTGGTCTGGAGCTAAAGCAGCATTTACAGAGAAATTATAGAATTAAATGTTTATGTCAGAAAAGAAAGTTCTCAAATTAATGACCTAAGTGTCCACCTTAAAACAAGAAGAAGAAGCACCCACACAGAAGAAGAAAATTAAACCCAAACTAAGCAGAAGGAAAATAACCAAAAAATGAAAGAAAAGACAGAAATCAATGACCTAGAAAACAAAAATTACAACAGAGAAAAATCAATGAAAACAAAAGCTGGTTTATTAAGATCAATAAAACAGATAAGCCTCTAGCCAGACTATGAGGGAAATAAAAGAGGAGCCACAAATTACCAGTAACAGGATTAGAGAGGGGATATCACTACAGTCCCTACGGTCATTAAAGGGATAAGAAAAGAATACAACGAACAACTTTATGCCAATATATCTAACATCTTAGATGAAATGGACAAATCCCTAGAAAGACACAAACTACGAAAGCTCATTAAAGAAGAAATAGATACACGGAGTAATCCTATATGTACTCATGAAATTGAAGGCCCAGGTAACTTCGCTGGTGAATTTCATCAAACATTAAGGAAGAAATAATATCAATTCTATATAAGCTCTTCCAGAAAACAGAAAGGATGAAACACTCACAACTCACTGCGAGGCCAGCATAACCCTGATAGCAAAACCAGACAGAGGCATAACAAGATATTACAAGAAAAACAAAACAGAACACAAAAAACCCCTACAGATCAATATCCTTCATGAATATAGAAACAAAAATTCTTAACAAAATTTTAGCAAATCAAACCTAACAAAATTTTAAAAAGTAATGTATCATAACCAAGTGAAATTTAGCCCAGGGATACAAGGTTGGTATAACATTCAAAATTCAACCAATGTAATCCACTAAAAAAGAGAACCATCTCAATAGATGTAAAAAAGCATATGACAAAATCCCCTAATGATAAAACCTCAGCCAACTAGGAACAGAAGGAAACTTCCTCAACTGATAAAGTATATCTATGAAAAACAGCTAACATCAAATTTAATGGTAAAAGGCTGAATGCTTTCACCCCAACCATCAGAAACAAAGATGTCTAATCTCAGTACTTCTCCTCAACATTGTACCGGAGGTCCTAGCCAATGCAGCAAAGCAAGGGAAAAAAAAGAAGGCACATAGATTGGAAAGGAAGTAAAATAGTCTTTATTTGGTGGCAACACGGCCATCTATGTAGAAAATTCTAAGGAATCTACAAAAAAGTCACTAGAATAAGTGAGTTTAGCAAGGCTGCAATTGTATTTCTATAGACTAACAACAATCAGAAATTGACATGACAGTAACATTTACAATAATATGAAAAAATATGAAACTTAGAGATAAGTCTAATAAAATGTGAAAGACCTATACATTAAAAACTACAAAACACTGCTGAGACAAATTAAAAGCTTAAGTAAATGGACAGATATATACCATGTTCATGAATCGGAAGACTCAATATTGTTAAGATGTCAATTCTCCCCAAAATGATCCAGAGGCAATGCAACCCCAATCAAAATCCCAGTAGCTTTTTTGGTAGAAATTGACAAGCTGATTCTAAAATGTATATGAAAATGCAAAGGACCTAAAATAACCAAGACAACTCTGAAAAAGAAGAACAAAGTTGGAAGATTTACACCATGTGATTTCAAGATTTATTATTAAGCTACAGTAATCAAGACAGTAAAATACTGGTGTAAGGAAAAACATATCAGTTATTGGAACAGAACAGAATTCACAAGTAGGCCCATACATATATGATGAATTTATTTTTGACAAAGGTGCGAAGGCAATTCAATGGTGGAAACGATAATCTTTTCAACAAATTATGTTAGAACAAGTGGATGGCCATATGCCAAAAAAGAAAAACAAATTTAAAGCCTACCCTAATACCATATATAAAAATTAGAAGTGGATCATAGCCATAAATAGCTAAAACTATTTAAAAAGAGAAAAAAAGAAAAACAAAACAATACAACAGAATAAAATCTCTTAGGGTAGACCACGGTTTTTTAAGTAGGATACAAAACGCAGAAAGTATAAAAAAAAAAAAATGTGATAAATTGGATTTTATAAAAATTAAAAAATTTGCTCTTCAAAAGAATTATCATGAAAATGAATAAGCAAGCAACAGACTGAGAGAAAATATCTGCAAACCATATATCTGAAAAAGGATCTGTATCTAGAATACAAAAATACTTGCAACTCCGTAAGACAAATAATCCAATAAAAAAATTAGTGAGCAATCTGAATAGACACAAAAGAGATATGCAGGTGGCAAAAAAGCACATGAAAATAAACTCTATATCATTAATCATTTGGGGAATGCAAATTAAAACCACAACAAGATACCACTAAACACCTGACACTGAATGTATAACACTGAAAAATCAACCACATCAAGTTTTGGTGAAGAAGGTAAAAGAACTAGAACTCTCATACACTGCAGGTGGGAACGTAATATGGTCCAACCACTCTGGAAAACAATTTAGTAGTTTCTTAGAAAGTTAAATGATCATCTATCACAACACCCAGCCATTCCACTCCTAGGTATTTATGCAAGAGAAACGAAGTATACCCCTACACAAAGCCTTGTGCACAAATGTTCAGCTCCAAGCAGGAAACAACCCAAATGTCCATCAGGAGGAAAATGGATAAACTGTGATATATCCACACAATTTAACACTACTTAGGAACAAACTACTGATATACACAACAACATGAATGAATGTTAAAATAATTACAGAGGGGAATGAGAAAGCATCTGGGGGTGATGGTTATTTTCATTATCTTGATTGTGATAGTTTCATGGGTATATACATGTATCAAACTTGTCAAATTGTAAACTTTAAATATGTTTGGTTTATTGCACATTAATTATACCTCAGTAAAGCTACAAGATTTTAAACAAAAATAACCTAAGGCTAATGTGCCCACATGACATGCAATGATTTGGATGGACTGTAGATAATGACAGTGTACCATGTAGGTTCATTTTAAAGAATGACACTAGGGCAGACACTGCTAGTTTCCTGATTCACATCCACTCTTCTCTGCTTCCTTACTAACATAACTTCAATTGTGTTTATGCAAATAAATGTATCTAGCTAAAACAAGCAGAACACTATCTGTGACTATCTGGGAATGTTTACCTTTGTAATATAGGCACCATTCTCTCTCCCTCCTTGTCCATGCTTGGAATGTAGATATGATACCTGGCAGTGCAGCAGCTACATTGTGAGCATGAGGACAAAAGCCAAAATTAAGAATGGAGAGGGAAAAAAAGAGGAGGAACCTGGTTCCTTGAGGATAGTCACAGAAGTCAAGCCATAGATTGCCTGTCTCTGGACTTCTTGTTGAGAAAAACAAACCACTTTCTTGTTTAAGCCATTATTCATTAGTGTTTCTTTCGTACGTAGTTGGCGAAATTTATGACATTCAGACCTTGGTATCAGAAGTGGTGTCTGAGGTACCAGTCACCCAAATCATCGCTGTGCAGTCACTCCAGTTTTATGGTCTCACTCTTTCCCACTAAAGTACCTTAACTTTTATAATAGACCTGATGAGGTTGTTAACTCCATTTATGCTGTAATTCAGCAACTCACAGGCTCTGTTTTTTTATATTAGCCTTATAACTACAAAAGATAAGAAACTTTTTTTTAATGCCTTATAAAAGAATTCTGTGTCACCCTTTGGCAAGCATCCAAAGCCTTTCGTTAAATAGTCATTTTTTTCTACATGATTATAGGTGATAACTTAAGAACTCTTTCATCATTGTGCAATACAGACTGCCAAAGTCACATTCTTTAAAACTAATTTTATCCTCATTGCCATCAAACCTGTCTAAGTATTAGCATATCGTAGAAATTAAGTACCTCAAACAATCTCTGGAAGGGCCAGAGAGCCAGGCCCTGAAGCTAAATAACTAGTAGTAATGTACAACTATACCATGAGAACTGTTCTAGCAAAAATACCAATTCCATTGCTGCTTGGAACTGGGTACCAGAAGCTCTGCCGGTGCTGCCCCTGAAGAAGTGGATGCTTTTGCAACCAGGCCTGCTAGATCAGCTCTGCTTATTGTTATATAGTCACAGTGTTTATTTCTAAATCTAGGTTTAAGTCACATGCCTGCACCCTAGGTGCAAGGGAGTCTGGGAATATGAGTCTTCTGATTTCACCAAGAAGATAGAACTCCTGTGTGAGAAATTATCAAAATATAAGGAGGGTGTCTAAGATGTTGTACAGCCACAAATAATAATTCTCCAATACTTAGATGACTAGTTTTACCATCTTAACCTAAAACATTTTACATAAAATGCTTACATACAGTTATACTTAATTGCCCATCACCACTCCATAGTCATACTTACTGAACGGGCACATTTTTTGGGAGGACTGCTAGAGAGTCCATCCAGTTGCCCATGTTCACCCAGGAATCCTGTCACTTGGTCCAAGAAAGAAGAGACATCTAACTGGTGCCACTCTACTAGCTTCTGACCTAAAGATTAAAAACCAGAATTAAAGAAGGAAAATCAATACTCTTTCTGAACACTGTCATTCAGTAAGTATTTCTCTCAGCATAAGCATAATTAAAATATACTGTGAACACTATCCCCTACCTCTCACCAGCTTAAGTTACATAGTGTCTTCATAACCTAGAAGATGCATCAATTATAATCCACCTAAGAGATTTCCAGCCATCATATTGGGGCAACTACCTTATCTGCTCATATCACTTATTGTCATTTAGGAAGAAGAGATTCAGAAAACACCTTATCTATATAAAACTCAATCAATTAATAATAAAACCAACTCCACCTCTGCTTCTTATGTGAGGTTACAACCAGTACTGGAATTATCTTTTTTTTTTTTAATCGTACTTTAAGTGAAAGTTTACAATTCAAGTTAGTCTCTCATACAAAAATTTATATATACATTGTTATGTGACCCTAATTGCTCTCCCCATACTGTGACAGCACACTCCTCCTTTCCACCTGATTCCCCATGTCCATTCAACCAGCTCCTAACCCTCACTGCCTCCCCATCTCACCTCCGGATAGAAGCTGCCCATTTAGTCTCTTGTATCTACTTGAGCACGCTCTTTACGAGCATCATTTTATGTCCCATAGTCCAGTCTAATCTTTGTCTAAAGAGTTGGCCTTGGGAATGGTTTTAGTTCTGGGTTGACAGAGAGTCTGGGGGGCGTGCTTTCTGGGGTTTCTCCAGTCTCAGTCAGACCATGAAGTCTGGTGTTTTTACTAAAATTTGAGTTCTGCACCATCCTTTCTTCCTGCTCCATCAGGGACTCTCTGTTGTGTTTCCTGTCGGGGCAGTCATTGGTGGTAGCTGGGTAACATCTAGTTCTTCTGGTCCCAGGCTGATGCAGTTTCTGGTTTATGTGGCTTATCATGCACTGAATTATGTCCCCCAAAAAATGTGTGCATCAATTTGGCTGGGTCATGATTCCCAGTATTGTATGATTGTGTACCATTTTGTTATCTGATGTGATTTCCTTATGTGTTATAAACTCTATTACTATGATGAGGTTATACTGATGACGTCTACAAGATCAGATAGCATCTTAAGCCAATATCTTTTGAGATATAAAAGACAGAAGCGAGCAGAGACACATGGGAACCTCATGCCACCAAGAAAGCAGTGCCGGGAGCAAAGTGTATCTTTTGGGCCTGAGGTTCTTGCACAGAGAAGCTCCCAGACCAAGGGAAGATTGATGACACGGACCTTCCTCCAGAGCTGACAGAGAAAGCATTCCCTTGGAGCTGAATTTAGACTTGTAGCCTACTAGACTGTGAAAGAATAAACTTCTCTTTGTTAAAGCCATTCACATGTGGTACTTCTGTTATAGCAGACTAGATGACTAAGACATGGTCCTTTCTGTCTCTTGGGCTAATATTTTCCTTGTGACTTTGGTGTTCTCCTTTAAACCAGGTGGGTTGGGACCAACTGATGCACCTTAGATGGCTGCTCACTACCTTTTAAGACCCCAGACGCCACTCACCACAAGTGGGATGCAGAACATTTTCTTAAAAAACTTTGTTATGCCAACTGACCTATATGTCCCCTGAAAGCACGGTCCCCAGACCTCCGCCCCGCTACTCTGTCCCTCAAAGTGTCTGGTTGTATTCAGGAAACTTCTTAGCTTTGGTTTAGTCCAGTTATGCTGACTTCCTGTATAGTATGCGCTGTCCTTCCATTCACCTAAGATAATTCTTGCCTACTCTCTAGTTAGCGAATACCCCTCTCCCTCCCCACCCTCGTAACCATCAGAGAATGTTGTCTTTTGTGTTTAAACCTTTTCTTGGGTTTTTATAATAGTGGTCTTATACAATATTTGTCCTTTTGTGCCTAAGTTCACTCAGCATAATACCTTCTAGATTCCTCCATGTTATGTTTCACAGATTCATCTTTATTGTTCTTTATCGTTGTGTAGTATTCCATTGTGTGGATATACCATAATTTGTTTATCCATTTGTCCGCTGATGGGCACCTAGGTTGTTTCCATGTTTTGCTATTGTGAACAGTGCTACAATGAACATGGGTGTGCATGTATCTATTTGTGTGGCGGCTCTTATTTCTCTAGGATATATTCCAAGGACTGGGATTGCTGGATGGTATGGTACTTCTATTTCTAGCTTTTTAAGAAAGTGCCTAATCGATTTCCAAAGTGGTTGTACCATTTTACATTCCCACCAGCAGTGTGTAAGTGTTCCAGTCTCTCCACAACCTCTCCAACATCTATTATTTTGTGTTTTTTGGATTAATGCTAGCCTTGTTGGAATGAGATGGTATTTCATTGTACTTATGATTTGCATTTCTCTAATGGCTAATGATCGTGAGCATCTCCTCATGCGTCTGTTAGCTGCCTGAATGTCTTCTTTAGCGAAGCCTGTTCATAACCTTTGCCCATTTTTTAACTGGGTTGTTTGTCCTTCTGTTGTTGAGGTTTTGCAGTATCTTGTACATTTTAGAGATCAGATGCTGACTGGATTTGTCGTAGCCAAAAATTTTTTCCCAGTCTATAGGTTGTCTTTTTACTCTTTCGGTGAAGTCCTTTGATGAGCATAAGTGTTTGATTTTTAGGAGCTCCCAGTTATCTAGTTTCTCTTCTGGCGTTTGTGCATTGTTACTTATGGCTCGTATTCTGTTTATGCCATGTATTAGCATTCCTAGCGTTGTCCCTATTTTTTCTTCCATGATCTTCATCATTTTAGATTTTATATTTAGGTCTTTGATCCATTTTGAGTTAGTTTCTGCACATAGTGTGAGGTATGGGTCTTGTTCCATTTTTTTGCAGATGAATATCCAGTTATGCCAGCACCATTTGTTAAACAGACTGTCTTCTCCCCAATTAATAGCTCTGGGCCTTTGTCAAATATCAGGTGCTCATAGGTGGATGAATTTATGTCTGGATTCTCAATTCCGTTCCATTGGTCTATGTATCTGTTGTTGTACCAGTACCAGGCTGTTCTGACTACCGTGGTGGTATAATAGGTTCTAAAATCAGGTAGTGTGAGGCCTCTCATTTTGTTCTTCTTCAGTAATGCTTTGTTTATCCGGGGCCTCTTCCCTTTCCATATGAAGTTGGTGATTTGTTTCTCCATCTCATTTTAAAGTGCCATCAGAATTTGGATCGAGACTGCATTGTATCTGTAGATCGCTTTGGGTAGAACTGACATTTTCACAATGTTGAGTCTTCCTATCCATGAGCAAGGTACGTTTTTTCACTTATGCAGGTCTCTTTTGGTTTCCTGCAGTAGTGTCTTGTAGTTTTCATTGTACAGGTCGTTTATGTCTCTGGTTAGATTTATTCCTAGGTATGGTATCGATCTGGTGATTTCCTCTTCAAAGTTCTCTTTATTGGTGTAGAGGAATCCAAGTAATCTTTTTATGTTTATCATGTATCCTGATACTTTGCAGAAATCTTCTCTTAGTTTCAATAGTTTTCTTGTGGATTCTTTGGGGTTTTCTGTAAGATCGTATCATCTTCATATAAAGATACTTTTACTTCTTCCCTACCAATTTGGATGCCCTTTATTTCTTTTTCTAGCCTAACTGCTCTGGCTAGGATCTTGAGCACAATGTTGAATAAGAGTGGTGATAAAGGGCATCCTTGTCTGGTTCCCATTCTTAAGGGGAATGCTTTCAAAGTCACTCCATTTAGGATGATGTTAGCTGTTGGCTTTGTATAAATGCCTTTAATTATGTTGAGGAATTTCCCTTCTACTCTTATTTTGCTGAGAGTTTTTATCATGAATTGGTGTTGGACTTTGTCAAATGACTTTTCTGCATCAATTGATAAGATCATGTGGTTCTTGCCTTTGTTTTATTAATGTGATAGATTACACTGATTGTTTTTCTAATGTTGAACCATCCGTGCATACCTGTTATAAATCTCACCTGATCATTGTGAATTATTTTTTTGATATGTTGTCGAATTCTAGTGGCTAGAGTTTTGTTGATGATTTTTGCATCAATGTTGAAGAGGATTATTGGTCTGTAATTTTCTTTTTTGTGGAGTCTTTACCTGGTTTTGCTATCAGGGTTATGCTGGCTTGACAGAATGAGTTTGGGAGTATGGAATAGTCGTAATATTTTAAGGATACAAAGCCTAAGGGGATCCTTATAAAATGATGAGAAAAAGGAACATACCAGTTATTTTCTGAAATAACAGAACTGCACAAATATAAAGTAGTATTATCTCTCGAAGTTGCCAGAAACAGATATCCTAAATACATACTTCAACAGATGTTTAAATAATTATAAAGTGCATGAACAAGAACCCTTCATCTAAATGATTACAAACAATTCTGAGATTGGATCCAGTCAAATATTAAAGATTAATTATTTAGGTAATTGAAAGACAAATGATAAAGGCTGTAAGCCAATATAAATCTTACCTGTCCGTGGGTCCAAGATGGAAACATAGGGGAAATCCCCTAGCTTATAAAACTGTATGTATCTCTGACCTTCCTCACTGTCATGATAAACCTGTAAATCATTAATATAAAAAAAATCAGCCTCTAAAAAAAGTACCAACTATATCCTTGTCATACACCAACAGCAATTAATTCTTCAAATATACCTTTAGTATATGTTTTAAGATCTCATTCCTACATTTCAGAAAAAATGAGCTCTGGCGGCACAGTGGTTTAAGTGCCCGACTGCTAACCTGAAGGTCGGCAGTTCGAAACCACCAGCAGCTCCACAGGTGAAAGATGTGGCGTTCCGTTTCCATAGAGATTTACAGCCTTGGAAACCCTATGGGGTCACCATAAGTTGGAATCTACTCGACATCAGTGGGTTTGTTTTTTTCTTTTCCTTCTGGCGTGAACTCCCTCAACTTCCTGTCTACCACCCCTTTTGGAAATTTTCCATAAACATACCAATCTATTCCACCTCCCTTCCTAGTTCAGAAGAGGTGTTACTTTCTGTTCAAATGTCTTTGTCTACCTATGCTCTTGATTCCAATCTATTCCTATCTCCTTCAAGGCATTCTGGCATCGATTATTCCCTGCCTCACCTAACTTTTGGCCTGTTCTCTACTAGCCATCCTGCCCCCACCTGAGCCTACAAACATGCTGAAATAGCTCCCTTCCTTTAAAAAGATCCCGTCTAAGTTCCCCTCCTCCTTTAACTTTCTCTTTCCTGTTTCAACTTAGTTCTTAAAAGAGTTGTCTATATTCCAAGTCTCCCCATCAGCCATTTCCTGAGAAGTTCTAATCTCACTTCTGTCCGCATCATTCTGGTAAACGGCTCTCACAAAATCACAATGACTTTCCAACCAGTAATTCCACAGACAGATATTTTTAATCGTTATTACTTATTTATTTTTTCCCTCTCTACAGAAGCTGACACTATCAACTACTTCCCCTTTTCTTGAAACAGCCCAGGATTCCATGATACCATGCTCTTCTGGTTTTCCCTATACCATTCTAACCTTTCTTTCTCAAAGTCCTTAACATGCTGTCCTTTTCTGACTATCCCTTAAATGCTGGTATACTCCTGCGTACTGCTTCAGCTTTCTCTTCTCCCTCAGTCTTACAAGACCATAACTGAAGACCAGAACTGTTAGGTTCAGGTCAGTATCTCCACAAGGATGTCCAGAATAACTTTCAAATTCATCATCTTGCTCCTCAAACTTGCTTTCCTTCCATATTCTCCATTTTAGCGACAACACCATGTTTACCCTTTCCTTCCCTACATAGTAAATAAGCCAGCCAGTCATATGAGTTCCTTTTCCTAAGTATCTCTCTCACCAATCTCACCTATCCACAATCAATTCTGAACACTTCCACCCAAATTTGATCACTCTTCCTTGTACCTAAAATACTTCCCTAGCCATCCAATGTTTTAAAGTAAAACCCAAGCTTCTCCGTATAACACAGAAGGTTCTTAGTGATCTGACCTTCATCTCTCTCAACAGCCTGGTATTATTTAACCACTTTCATTGCCCCGAACAGACTGTTTAATTTTTGAGCCTCCAACTTCTATATACTTGATTCTCTGCTAGGAATGCCCATCCTTTTTTACCTACCTCGCAAACTTCTATTCATCTTTCAAGCCCAATGCAAATGTCAGCTCCCCAAGGAAATAATCCTTGACTCACTCCTGACTCTCAACCATATACATCTTAATAAATCACAGTATATTAAGGTTATAAGCTGGAGTTGCCTAGCATAGTGTTAGGCACAGAGGAGATGCTTAATCAATATGTGATGAATAAAAGCAAAGGAATTTTACTATCCAGAAAAAAAATCGTACTGAATTTAGAAGTCCATAAAAAAATGCAATTTAATAACATTAACAGCATATCTTGTAGTGAGAAAAAAACTAAGTTTATTCCAAAGTTCCTATTTTTTTATTTTTCATTTAAAAAAAAATTTGAGCAAGATCATCTAATCTTACCTTGATAATCTATAGAAAAATAAAGCGAAGCCAGCAAGACTAAGTGACATGTCCAAGGACGTATAGTTAAGCAGTATCAAAACCCAAGTCTTAGCCAAATGCTTTTTTTAAATTACACCTGCACTGTACAATATGGTAGCCCCTAGCCACATATGGCTATTGAAGCACTTGAAACGTGGCTAGATAAGATTGAGATGTACTATGAATGTAAAATACATACCAGATTTTGAAGAGTTAAAACAAACAAACATACAAAAAGGCCATCTCACTAATACTTCTATATTAATCACATGGTGAAATGATACCTTGGATATACTGATTTAAACAAAATATACTACTAAAATTATTTTCACCTGTTTACTTTTCTAATGTGGCTACTAGAAAAATTAAAATTATAACAGTACAGTGCTATACTCTATCAAGACACTTAAACTCTTCTGGGATATGAATATTACATGGCTTGGTTCTCTTTCCTCCCCCTTGTCTTGGGAGTTCTTCATTGCTGCTCTTTCACTTCTCTTTACTATTTCAGCCACTATGGGTGGTTTTCCTTTTTTATATGTCATAATTTAACTCAGTTATCAATTATTTTTTTCCCATTTCTAACCCAATTCTTCCTTCCAACCCCCCACACTGCAAAAGTAAACTACCATAAAAAATTTAATTCTCCTTCCCACCTGCCAGAAAATGAAATGTTCCCGGATAATATTCTTCACAGCTTCGTTGCTCCATACATCTCGGTTGAGGCACTGGCATGCAAAGTCTTGTACATTCTGAATGTTTATCATCAGCCACTTATTCTGCATCTGGCCACACTCTTTGGCCTGTAAGAGTAAAGTTACACATTTATTAGAAATAATTTCTACTTGGTGACTGATATGCTTCCGAATTCAGAAGCTGTCTTCTTTTCAAATAAATGCTGTTTTTCCTTAAGTATGACATCTAAGAGAGTTTTATGTATGTACACACGATTTAAATTTAATTTGCATATGTATGTATTATACTATTTTCAAGCATTTCTCAAATTCGAACGAATTGTTTTCAAATTATTTCTCAATTATTAAAAAAACAAAACAAAACACCAGTTGCTGCTGAGTCAGTTCTCTTTTATCCACTATTGTTATAACAGCAGAATTTTTAATGTATATTTAAACATCTTTATCTGAAAAAGTCTACAAACTTAAGGTTAACAAATCACGTAATTCTCATACGTCTCTTCCAGTCCCTATCAACATACACGCCTTTCCTTTAATAGCTGTAACCAGTCTGTATGTATTACTTTACGTTGTTTTATTTTCCACTGCATCATTTTCTACACACATTTTCAAATATCACATTCATCTGCATTGGATGTCTCTATACTAGTATATCCTGTTTCTCAAATTATTTCTTGGTTATTTAAAAAAAAAAAACAGTTGCTGGAAGAACATAATCGATGTCACTGACTTGTGCAAGTAGAAATTTTTGAAATGGTGTATCTCTGGCTATGTACATTTTTACCAAAAAAAAAAAAAAAAAAAGGTCGAGAAGGGAGAGTGTTGACATGTCGTGGGGTTGTTAACCAATGTCATAAAATAATATGTGTACTGACCGTTTAATGAGAAACTATTTGTCTGTAAACCCTCACCTAAAGTACAATTTAAAAAAAAACAAGCAAAAAGAACCAGCTGCTGCTGAGTCATTTCTGACTCATGGTGACCCGATGTGTGTCAGAGTAGAACTGTGCTCCATAGGGTTTCAATGGTTGATTTCTTGGAAGTAGACAGCCAGGCCTTTCTTCTGAGGTACCTCTGGGTAGACTCGAACCCCCTACCTTTTGGTTAGCAGCCAAGTGCATTAACTGTTTGTACCACCCAGGGCCTCCTTCTCAATTATCAGCCAGGAGCAATTTTATTGAATCACATTAAATATTTCAGTAAAAACTCCTGGAGATTTTTTTACCTTAGGGTTGTTTTCCCAGGAGTACATATTAAAAAATAGTATTAAAGAATTAAAAAAAAAAAATTATAGAATCAAAGGATATTTGCAAATGGTCTCCAAAAGACTCCCCAGTTCACAGCATAAACATTCATCATGAGTGAGTACCTTCTGCCCAGATAGTTTCTCATTACCATAAACACCTAAGAAATGTTGCTGAATGGGGAAAAAATGGCAGAGGAGCAAATGAGCAAACACTACCTCGAACCTTTAAATAGGAGAAATGAATGAAAGCCATAATTTTTAATAATTTTGTCCTGGAATAATATTCTTTTCCAAATTAGTCTGACACTGGAAAATCTTCAGAATTAACTCAGTTTAATAAGAAAGAACATAAATCATTTTGGAGGTATTAGAAAATGTAAGACTAAGAATTGGAAGTTGTCAAAAAATGAAATGGAATGTTTGAAGATCAATATCCTAGGCAATACCAATGGACCAGTATTGGCCATTTTGAATCTGATAATCATATGGTCTATTACGCTTGTGTGAGGGTTAACGTTATGTGTCAACTTGGCTAGGCTATGATTCTCGGTGGTTCGGTAGACACTACGCAATCATCTTCCGTCCTGTGATTTGATGTGAGCAGACTATCGGCTTAAACAGGTGCTGCCTTGGGGGTCTGGCATGTATGCTCTGGCAAAGCTCACTCTTTTTTCTCAACCCTGCACTGTTCTCATTGCCTGGTTCTTGGGACATAAGCCTGCATAAGTCTCTGGCCTGCTGTCTGAGGTGCAGATTTTGGGTTCACCAGCCCCTGCAATCATGTGATCCAGCAAACGTCTTCAGCCTGTTGCCTGACCCGTGGGTTTGGGACTTGCTAGCCCCACGATTGCGTGAGCCAGTTCCTCACATCTGCATGAGCCATTTCCTTGAAATAAATTTCTCCATCTATATATGCTTCACTGACTTTGTGCCTCTAGAGTACCCAGACTAAGAAAGCAGGGAACAGCAAACTGAAAAGGAATGGCACTGCATTCATTGTCAAAAAGAACATTTCAAGATCTATCCTGAAGTTATAACGCTGTCAGTGATCAACAATCAATGCCCATGGAAGCAGCCATGACCTCTTGAAAGTGTTAAAAAACAAAGATGTCATTTTGATGACTATGGTACGCCTGAACCATGCCATAGTATTTCAACTGCCTCGTATGCATGTGAAAGTTGGACAATGAAAAAGAAGACCAAAGAAGAACTGACGTATTCAAACTGTAGTGTTGGTGAAGAATACTGAATATACCGTAGACTGCCTGAAGAATGAACAAATCTCTTTTGGAGAGAGTACAGCCAGAGGCAAGGATGGCGAGACCTTATCTTACTTACTTTGGGCATGTCATCAGGAAAGACCAATCACTAGAAAAGGACATCATGTTTTTGGTAAAGCAGAGGGTCAGTGAAAAAGAGGGAGACGCTTAATGAGATGGATCGGCACCGTGACTCCAACAATGGGCTCAATCACAGCAACGATTGTGAGGATGGTGCAGGACCAGGCAACATTTGGTTCTGTTATACATAAGGTTGCTATGAGTTGGAGGTGACTCGATGGCACCTAATCTTCTGTTTTAAGAACGTTTACACGATCTTACAAACATAGTTTTCCTATTTTTTATATGAATTCCCCGGAGAAAATTATTTTCTAATATTCACTCACTGATTCCATAGGTGAAAATCCAAGTTCAAAAAGAACTATCCCTAACTGGTCAAAGACTTATTTTAAAGTATATAAATATACTTGCTCCTAGGAATTAACAGTGTTCCAATTATTGCCTTCACTATAGTACATGTATAGGTTTTAATAAAGGGGTGATGAATGAATAAATAAACTGCCTTAATTGAAGAAAAACTACTTCAGAATAAAGAAAAACAGTTACCACTACATTCTAAAGACAGACTGGACAGTACATATCCCTGTACAGTGTAAATTTACAGAGGCCTGCCCCAACTACAACACTGACAACGGAAAAAAGAAGTATGAACTAAAAAATATTAGTCCAGATTTAAAAAATGGAGAGTCCTTTGTTTTTTAAAATGCATTCATTCACATTCAGCTTTCATTAATTCAGATTCATTCATTCAACAAAACTTATTGAGTAATTACTATGTTTCAGGTACAGTTATAGATGCTGGAGTCAGCAATTACTAAAACACAAAAATCCCTGCCCTCATGAAGCTTACACCAGGGATAAACCGCATACTAGCAAAAGAAACTCTGAAATGGTACTATCCACACTGAAGATACTATTAAGAAATTACTGCTACGTTTCACCAAAGAGGATATTCAAATGGCTAACATGAAAAATGCTCAACATCATTAGCTGTCAAGAGAGATGCAAATCAAAACCACAAGGTAACACTTCACTCCTGCTAGGATGGCTAGAATAAAAAAGAACGGAAAATAACAAATGTTGGTGAGGATGTGGAGAAATTGGAACCCTCATTCATTGCTGTGGGAATGTAAAATGGTACAGCCACTGTGGAAAACAGTTTGGTGGTTCCTCAAACAGTTAAACATAGAACTACCATTGCTGTTGTTGTTAGGTGCTGTTGAGTCAATTCTGACTCACAGTGACCCTATAGGACAGAGTAGAACTGTCCCACAGGGTTTCCTAAGCTATATTCTTTACAGGAACAGACTGCCAGGTCTTTTCTCCCACAGAGTGGCTGGTGAGTTCAAACCGCCGACCTTTCAGTTAGTAGCTGAGTGCTTAACTGTTGTGCCAGCAGGGTTCCTTAAGAACTACCATATGATCCAGGAATTCCACTCTTAAAGCCTGAAAGCAGCAACACAAACAGACACATATACACCAATGTTCACTGCAGCAATATTCATAACAGCCAAAAGGTGGAAACCACCTAAGTGTCCATCAATGGATGAATGGATAAACTAATGTGGTACATACGTACAATGGAATACTACTCGGCATAAAGAGAAATGAAGGCCTCAATCATGCTACAGCATGGAAGAACCTTGAAAACCTTATGCTCAGTGAAATACGTCAATGACAAAAGGAGAAATTTTATATGATTTCACTTATATGAAACAAAAAGAACAGCAAGTGTATAGAGACCAAAATTTATTAGTGTCAGGAGTAGAAGGGAGGGGGAAAAGGGGAGTTTTTGTTTAGTGAGTGTTTATGGTGATGGGAAATTTGGCAACGATTATGGGTGGTGGTTGCACAACATAATTAATGTAATTGTTATCACTAAACTGTATACCTGAAAAATGCTGAATTGGCAGATGTTGTGTTATATATATTTTTACAATAAAAAGTTAATAATAGTAATAAACAAATAGCAAAAAAGAAAAATTATTGCTAGAAGGCAGGCCTCAAAGAAGACACAACTTCAGACAAAGGAACACTATCTGGAGAGAGTATAACAGATTCTTACACAAACTCACTGAGTATACTATTATGTGAGTCAAGAACTAGAGGTGAGAATGGGCCAAGGGAAAAAAGAGGAACCTTCCCTCTTGGGATCTATTAGGTTATATTGGATCAACATTCAAAAGCCATTGTGGGAAGATGCAAAGGCAAGTGTGGCTACATCAAATAGACAGGTATATGACATGGTTTATTTTTGACAAAGGGGAAGCAGTGGGAGACCAACATCTCTCCCAATCCTAGACAGATATAGATGAAAAATAATATGTACAATAAACATACATGCATAGAATAAAGTCAAGAAGGAAATATGTTAAAATATGCATGGTATTTTTTATGGAAGCTGAAATAATTATTTTATTATTTTTCCTTAACTGCTTGCTAATTTTTCTGTAATTTGTCTAATTTGATAAAATTGTGTACGCTATAAAGTTTATTTAGAAAAGTTTTATCATATATTTGTT